GGAGGCAGAGGAGACACAAGGTGGCAGAGGAGACACGAGGGGAGGCAGAGGAGACACAAGGTGGCAGAGGAGACACGAGGGGAGGCAGAGGAGACACAAGGTGGCAGAGGAGACACGAGGGGAGGCAGAGGAGACATGAGGAGACACAAGGGAGGGCAGCGGGGGAATGCAGTCACAGCGGTCTCTCCTCCCCGCTGGTGCCGGCTGCAGTGGTCCGTGTCCCCGCCGCCTCCGCCGATACAGGTGGGACACAGAAAGCCGCAGTCGGCACCAGTGGGAGGCGAACGGAGGAGCGGCAGCGCTGCAACTAATCGATGATGAGAATCTTACATTGTGATTCTGACAAACATAATGAAAGGAATATTGATGAAAAGATGTCTTACGCTGGATGTCCGGAGCCTCCGCCGTCTCGAAGAAATCTTCCTCGTGGTCGATGTCGGAGTATTTGCCGAGCGAGCGCTTGTGTGCCAGGGCCAGCACTTCCTGCAGGATGTCCATCTTGCGGAGGATCTTGCACAGGCCGTGGATCCTCATGGCCTCCTCGTGTTTCATGAGAGCCTTCTTCAGGTGAGCCTTACCTGCCGGCAGATCGGAGGAGCTCAGACATGATATATACACACAGCAAGGAGCCAATCACAGCCCTGTATAGACCGGATCCAATCACTGCCCCGTACAGACCGGATCCAATCACAGCCCCGTACAGACTGGATCCAATCACAGCCCTGTACAGACCGGATCCAATCACAGCCCCGCACAGACCGGAGCCAATCACAGCCCCGCACAGACCGGATCCAATCACAGCCCTGTACAGACCGGATCCAATCACAGCCCTGTACAGACCGGATCCAATCACAGCCCTGTACAGACCGGATCCAATCACAGCCCTGCACAGACCGGATCCAATCACAGCCCCGCACAGACCGGATCCAATCACAGCCCCGCACAGACCGGAGCCAATCACAGCCCTGTACAGACCGGATCCAATCACTGCCCCGTGCAGACCGGATCCAATCACAGCCCCGTACAGACCGGATCCAATCACTGCCCCGTGCAGACCGGATCCAATCACAGCCCCGTACAGACCGGATCCAATCACTGCCCCGTGCAGACCGGATCCAATCACAGCCCCGTACAGACCGGATCCAATCACTGCCCCGTGCAGACCGGATCCAATCACAGCCCCGTACAGACCGGATCCAATCACTGCCCCGTGCAGACCGGATCCAATCACAGCCCCGTACAGACCGGATCCAATCACTGCCCCGTGCAGACCGGATCCAATCACAGCCCCGTACAGACCGGATCCAATCACTGCCCCGTGCAGACCGGATCCAATCACAGCCCCGTACAGACCGGATCCAATCACTGCCCCGTGCAGACCGGATCCAATCACAGCCCCGTACAGACCGGATCCAATCACTGCCCCGTGCAGACCGGATCCAATCACAGCCCCGTACAGACCGGATCCAATCACTGCCCCGTGCAGACCGGATCCAATCACAGCCCCGTACAGACCGGATCCAATCACTGCCCCGTGCAGACCGGATCCAATCACAGCCCCGTACAGACCGGATCCAATCACTGCCCCGTGCAGACCGGATCCAATCACAGCCCCGTACAGACCGGATCCAATCACTGCCCCGTGCAGACCGGATCCAATCACAGCCCCGTACAGACCGGATCCAATCACTGCCCCGTGCAGACCGGATCCAATCACAGCCCCGTACAGACCGGATCCAATCACTGCCCCGTGCAGACCGGATCCAATCACAGCCCCGTACAGACCGGATCCAATCACTGCCCCGTGCAGACCGGATCCAATCACAGCCCCGTACAGACCGGATCCAATCACTGCCCCGTGCAGACCGGATCCAATCACAGCCCCGTACAGACCGGATCCAATCACTGCCCCGTGCAGACCGGATCCAATCACAGCCCCGTACAGACCGGATCCAATCACTGCCCCGTGCAGACCGGATCCAATCACAGCCCCGTACAGACCGGATCCAATCACTGCCCCGTGCAGACCGGATCCAATCACAGCCCCGTACAGACCGGATCCAATCACTGCCCCGTGCAGACCGGATCCAATCACAGACCCGTACAGACTGGATCCAATCCCTATCTGTCTGGAGGAGTGGGCGTTCCTAGGCAGGCTGTATTTGCATGCAGACCTCTCTAGGTAACGCCCACATGTGTCATTGAGCCTCCACGATTGACAGAACTGAAATCCAATGAATGAAAGGGGCCAGGGACAGTCAAAGGGGAGAAAAGTCCTAGATGATGCCAGATGTCCCCCAGCCAAGGAATGAGGCGGAGCTCTATCTGACTTGCTGCAGCTTCTAATGCACATTGTGAGGAGCTCCCAGTGTGCGGTGACATCAGAGGAAGAGGGGAGGAGCCGGTACAACTGTGCATGACTGTGT